TAGAAATATATAAAACATGTAAATAAATAAAACATTTATGGATAAGAACATAAATAAAAATTAAAAAAATTATAAAGTGGTATCCATATAGTGTTACCATTTAGTAAAGATGGGTGTGCTTTTTTCTTTTTTTAACATAAAAGCTTGGACTTTAGCCGAACATTTGATACTGGGGACACAGACTTCGATACTTTTAAGAGTTGATTGATAGTGTCAGATTGTAATTGTCAAAACTGAGAATGCTGCTTTTGCAAAACGTATATAGTATAAAATGGCAGAAGCATGTCTAGGGCTATTTCATAAACTTTTAGAAATTCTGTCCCGAGCCCAAGACAAAGTTATTTGAATAATTTTAAAATAAAGTTTAAGGGCTGGAGAGATGGCTCGGCAGTTAAGAGCACTGAGGACCCAGGTTCAATTCCTAGCATCCACATGGCAGCTCACAACTGTCTGTAATGCCAAGATCTGACACCCTCACACAGACATACATGCAGGCAAAACACCAATGTACATAAAGTAAAAATAAATAATTAAACAAAAAATTAAGTCATCGATTCAAATAGTAATTTTAAAAATAAACATTCTCACAAAAAACAATACAAAGGTGTGCTGATTCGAGACATGCTAAGGCACGACTGTGGCAAAATATAAAAAGTCTTTGTTTCTCATACACAGTAAGAGCAGAAAAGAAATGTGTTGCAGCTCCTAGCCTCTGGAGGGTTCAGACTTGAGCTCAGGTGATCCTGGAAGTGTTCGTTGGCATTGTAGGGTGTGACGGCATGCACGGTGTGAAATGCACACATGTATCAGCGCCAAGGCTGCGGTGACGTCACACAGGGCAGTAGTCCTAAGAGCTGTCAGAAACATCCTAAATCCATCACACGTTAGATTGTTAGTTACTTTTTGATTGTTGCCTGTTAGGGAAACTCCCTGTTACCAGTTTTTAAAATGACCTCCACATCACTCCACAAGCCATGATTTAAGACCCCAGGGCCTGAGCAACAAAAAACTATTTTCCTTCAGTTCTTAAAGTCTAGACCAGTGGTTCTCAAACTTTCCTAACGCTGCAGCCCTTTAATATAATTTGTCCGGTTGCAGTGATCTCCAACCGTAAAACTGTTGCCCCCACTACTTCATAACTTTAATTTTTGTACTCTAATGCAGTGGAATGCAAATATCTACCTTTTCTGATGGTCTTAGGAAACTCCTGTGAAAGGGTCATTTGTTCCCCTCCCCTGGGTCACGACCCACAGGTTGAGAACCGTTGGTCTGGAGGCTTGCAGTCCAAATCATGATGTTAATGTGAGCATCACTATTAGTGTGCCCTATTTCCCTTTCACACACTCACAAAACTCTACTGTCTCTCTCTTCTTACAAGGTCTTTAATATCATCATGGAGGCCACAGTCTCATGGTCTCATCTAAACTTAATTACCTCTCAAAGGTCCCACCACCAAATAGTATTGCATTGGGGCTTAGAGTTTCATTATAGGAAGTGTGTGTGTGTGTGTGTGTGTGTGTGTGTGTGTGTGTGTGGTGTGTTAGGTATCACAGCATAGATTAAAACACTTTTCTACGACTATTTAAGCAATCCAGTAGCTGGGCAAATGTTGACTCCAACTGCTGTTTTCCTTTTCTTAATAATTTGTCTGAGTTGTTCTTATACATGGGTATTAAAATAATTAGCATTTTCAGAGGCAAGATGTTACTAGTTGCCATTAATTATCTCTGATATATATCTACAAACATGAATCCCCTTTAATGCTTATTTTTATATATGTTTATCCACATTTCTCAACTGTTTTGTTGAAGGCAAACAATATTAGTTTGCTTTCTCCCTCTTTCTCTCTCTCCCCTCCCCTTCCTTCCCTCCCACCCTCCCTCTTTTCCTCCCTCCCTCCTCTCTATCTCTGATTTCTCATTAAAAAGAAAGAGAGAGACTAGAATTTTGGTGCTCCTGGCAATTTTGTTCTGACACAAGTTGCGCCCAGATTGTAACTGATAAGTATTTCAGTTCTTTCTTGAAAAAAATTAAATTCACAAAACAATTGATTATCAGTTATAAATGGCAAAAACACCATCTGGTTTTTAAAATTGGTTCAATTCCGTGTAGCAAGGGGGAAAATGTTGGAAGTTGTTCTTGGCGATGAGTTCTAGTCCACGGAGCAGAAAATGACGCGCTTTACTATGAGAAAGCCAGGGTAGTCATAACTTGTACTCAGCGGCTGTGGGAATTCAATGCGTTCCTCGCATGTTCCATATGTTAAATCGCTTGGCGACATCTTTGGTGTGAAAGAGCTGGGGTGGGGGGGGAGGGGGAGTATGGCTAGAGCAGAGAGCAACAACCACTTGCTTCATCTGGAATTCTCACCTCTGTTTCCAGGCAGACCGGGTGTGCTAGGTGTATCAGGCCTCAGTTTCCCTACCTAGTAAAAGTGGATGCGCCAAGTTCCTTAAACTGTACACGGCAGGTGGCGTTTCTGTGGCAATCTTTAGAGTTGTTTGCATTTTACCAGTGAGGTAAGTCGCACAGCATTGGCATTTCCTATAGAAATGTCCCATGTTGTTCTTTGCCAACTGGAAATTTGAGTAGGTGTTCATTTGATGTGCCAAGAGAATGAAGGGAGAGGAAAACATTCCACATCTTCCAGTGTCCCCATACTGTGTTCTGAGAGTGGGAGGACTGGGGCCTGGCTACATTCTCCTGGAGCCTCAGCCTCACGAGCAATGCTTTTCCTGAGGAGTCTGCTGCAATCCTGTTATTTTCAAAAATGTTTCTGAGCTGCTGGCATATTTTCACCTTATGTTAAAAATACAGCTCTCCTTTGCTTATTATTCATGCGTTATGATGTGAAATTTATTCCTTCACTTAACACATATTTGTTGAGGCACAGTGCAGCACAGTAGTTAGTTGCGAGGGTTCCGTCTGCAATTTAGAAAGCGTGATTCTGTTTTTTAAATGCTGGTGTTTAAATTTTCTAACCACGTTGAATAAAAAAAATGGGGGAAATAATAGTATCTACTTTGAAGGTTGTTTCAATGATTTTAAAAAAATGCACAAAAATTCCTCGATAAGAACTCAAGGACACAAGAGTCGCAACAATATAAAGAATAGTGAATACTGCCAGGCTCTGTGCTGCTGTGGCTGGTGCGTAGGACCTGACTTTGCCCTATACACTTCATTGTCGGCATAGACAGCCTCTGGTCTTTTTGTCCTGATTTTGGTAGAAATCAGCCTTGTATCAGGTCTGATCTAGGTAGCCTCACTTCTAGATTTTGCAGACTGGGCATGATTCTGGTGGTCACGTGGCGTTGGTCTTCTGTCTCATGTACTGTGATTTGCCCACTGGAGCTTTCTCCACGTCTGGAGGACTGCCTGCAGTTCGTGCACTGGGGCCTGTAATTACAGAGCAGAAGATCCAGGGATGTGGAGACAGGGCAGTTTCGAAAATTAGTTTATGCATAATGGATAATACGAGGCTGCTTTACTGTGTAACTCATTTGATGGGTTGGCCGATCTTAGCTTCCTTTTTGATATTTATTTTTTTAATTTATTTGCAACACGAGGACAGAGGGCTTGGTACATACTGTTCTTCTAGACTATAGTTCGGATTCAGCAATTTACATTCAGTAATCTCTTGGTCATTTAGCCACAGATAATTTGTCATGGTTTGTTTTAGCTGTTGTGATATTGATATTTATTATGCAAATTGTATTTCCTACATCTTATTGTTCTGCATTCTATGAATACTTAAATTATTATAAACCTTTACACTTAATACGGCTCGTCCTTCAATTTGATGCTTGAGCAACAGAGGGTCAGAGCTCACACGGTCTTCTAGAGGGGAAGAAAATAAGTAATTAAAAGGCAGACAAACAAGAGAGCCGGCTGCCTGGTTGAAAAGAAAGCAAAGATAATTTCGGGGAGGGAGAGAGTGTCCAGAGATGCATGCGAGTCGCTTCAGCGGGAGAACCTCTCCGAGATGCAACTAAAGCCGAGAGCACCTGTTGGTCTCCGGATGCCTTACAAAGGACTGGGAGCAAGGCAGATGAGAGAACTGATTTGAACATTGGAGGAGGAACCCGGCTGACTCTCCCAATCATTGCCACACTCACTTCCCTACATTCACTTCCCCACAAACCTGACCCGTAGATTTTTTGTTTCTGTGTGCGTACAATCTTAAATACATAATATTACTTACGCGCTGTACTCTATTAAACACGGGGAGGACACTTCCCACAAGCTGGGGAGCCTGAGCAGACCCTCCTGACTTACCTTTCCCTGGAATCTACAAACATCTACTTTAAAAAAAATCCCAGAACCCGACTCCACAGCTTCAGTCTCCCAACTATCCCCCAGTCTGCCGCTAGGTTGTTGAGCGGGCTCTCCTGCTCCGCCGGACGTACAAAGCACGCAAGCATTGCTACCAGATTGTTTTGTCAATCCGGGAACCTGCATTCGCACTCTCTGCTCCCCGGGTTTCCTAAAGATCTTACTCCTTTGTGCAAGGTGAGGGAAGGGAATTTTGCAACATGTGACTTCCACAGGCCGATGCACACGCAGTTCCCGGGCCCAGGAGCCTCGCGGTGAGACTCTCGAGGCGTGAGTCCGCCGCGGCGAGTACCGTAAATGTTCCTAATAAAGGTGCACGGAAACTAGACCGGCCTCCTGAAGCCGCAGCCCCTTCCCCGGCCTCCACGGCAGAAGCCCGGGCAGTACACTTTTTCCTCCCTCGGGAAAAGCGGAGCCGAATTTTAACGTAAACATATTTGCATAGGCCCCTCCCCTAGGCCCCGCCCCCAGGTGGCGCGGGCGCGCGGCCGAACGCTAGCGCCAGGGGGCGGGGTGGGGGAGGGGGCGAGTCCTCCGAGAGCCGGGTTGGGCTTGCGACGCCACGATTGGTGGTTCCCGACTCCGCCTTTAGCGCATCTCATTAGCATCTCATTAGCTGTCCGCTCGGGCTCCGAAGGCAGCCACCGCCGCCAGTCTGAGGCAGGTGCCCGACATGGCGAGTGCTGTGCTGCCGAGCGGATCCCAGTGTGCGGCGGCAGCGGCTGTGGCGGCGGCGGCGGCGCCTCCCGGGCTCCGGCTCCGGCTCCTGCTGTTGCTTCTCTCGGCCGCGGCACTGATCCCCACAGGTAGGTTGTGGGCACCCGCGGATTGGTCCCCAAATCCCCCCCCACGGGCACCCCCAGGAGCCGTAGCTATGGAAGGGGGACGTTTCCATGACAACCTCCCCCCCACCTTCCTAAATCCAAAGCGGCGGGAGCGTGGCAAGGAAAGTCGGGGCTGCGAGGGAAGGGGCCGAGAGGTCGGCGCCCCTTCTCTCCTGCCCGCCGGCTGCGGATGGGCGCCCTCAGGGATGGCTGCACCCACACCTCTTCCTCCTGGCGTAGCGCGGGGTTCCGAGTGGAGTGGGCTCGGGGCCGGGGGCGAGCGCGTGGGGGAAGGGGAACCCTCCGAGGCGCCCCGAACCTTCCGGACCCTCCGAAACTCGCTCTGCCCCTGGAACTTGCAGGTCCTCCTGTGTCCCCGGCCTTAGCCTTCGCCCCCCTCCGTTCCAGCTCGGCCCCCCCCCCCCGGGTCGATTCTCCTTCCCCGAAGCTCTCTCCTCGCGGGTCCCCAGGACATCACCCCCCAGGCTCGTCCTCTCCCCCGCCGGCCCGCGCTCTGCGGGTCCCCCGCCCGGAGCTGCACGCCTCTGGTGTTTCCCTCCCGCCGGACGCAGCCGCCCCTCGGCCCCCTCCGCTGGGCTGCGGGTCGGCTTGGCCGGAATCCAGGCGGGGAAAGTTCCCGGCTCGGGGGGCGGCCGCTCGCCGCCGCCGCCTCCGCCGCTGGACGGACGGCTCCCGGCGCCCGCGGCCGCCCCGCGCCGCCGAGGCCTCCGCCGCGAGTGCGGAGCCGGGATTTCCCGGCCGCGCGTCCTCCGGGCAGGCGGCCCGCAGGTGGCGGCGGGGGCGTCCGCGGCCTCTGCGGCCCGGCGCGCGCCCTGCGGGCCTCGGGGCGCTCCCCGCGTGCCTGGCCGTCTGGAGCATCTGCCCCGGCGGCGGCTCCGCGAGCGCCTCGCCTTTCCCCGAGACGCCGAGCGCTCTGGCAGGAGCCCCGCGTGTGGCTGCTGCCCCTGTGCCCGGGCGCGTTGGCGCGGTCGGGAAAGAAGAGGGCAGTGTTTGCATTTGCTAACAAAAGGGAGCCGGGGCTCTTCCCCGCCGGAGAGGCCGGCCGCGCTGCGCCCTCCTTCCCGCCACCTCGCCGCCTTTGCCCGCCGCGCGGCGTCCCCTTGCTGCTCTGCCGCTCGCTGCTCTGCCGCTGGCTACCGGCGGCCGGCGGGACCGAGCGGCACCGGGCGGAGGCGAGCAAGGCGGCTGTGTGCGAGGGGATGCGCTAGGGCTCTGTGCCCGCAGAACCCCTTCTTGGAGCTCAGAGCTGCAGGACCCGGGAGCAACAAGTGGTGGAGGACGCCGCGAGCTCAGCCCCCACCTGCGGAGCCCCCAGCCCCGGAGGATGCAGCGCTGGGCCAGCGTGCGGTTCCGCGGGCGCCTTTCTGCTTGGGTTGTGTCTTTTGTTTACACGCTAGAGGACACATAGTTATGTAAACACCGCAGGAGACACGCTGTTGGAAATAGGGATGCTTGGTAGTGCTAGCTTCGGATTTAGGGGATGCCCGGTTGGTTGATTCACACCCGCCCTCCCCCAGTACAAAATAGGCTTGTGGAGGAGCTCGGCTTGGAGAACCCATTGAGGCTGTAAGGGTGGGAGCCTGGCAGCACCTTCCATTCCAGCCTGAGAATTTTGTCTTCCTTGCTACGGTCTGTCTCCGATGTTTATATGTTTTTCTTCTGTGAATTCTTAATTTATGAGTTACGAGATAATTAGGTTTAGCCGAAGCCTGTGTGGTTACAACTTAATTTCTGGTGATGCCACTGACTGGAAGGGTTCGATAGAGTGTTCCCGAAAGAGATCCCTCGTGCTGCATTGTAAAAAGCGCCAGTGTCAGTTAAACGTGAGCGTGAGTAAAGGCTGGGTAACTGGCGCATTACGGAGGCAACAATAGACTTGTATTGGCTGCAGAACGAAGGGTGGGGGTGGGAAGCGCTGGCCCGGGATATTGCCTTTCCACTAAAAATGGGAGCCATGCAATGCCACTAAACCAGCAGAGTAAGATTAGATTATGCCTCCCTTGTCAAGCCCGATCACTGAAGGCTCCGAGTAGTAACAACAGTACTATATTTGTACTCTCTCTCGGTGAGAAGTCGCCTTCCCGGCGAGGCATGTGTGCTGACTTAGAAGGAACGGTCTGGAACTCAACCGTGCATGTCAAAGCTACAGGAAAATTCTGTTGCCAGTTACCATGGAAGCAGCTTCTCGCTCTTGTGTACATCCCTGTTTGTACGCAGCTTATCAGATTGTGTTCAAATTAGAAAGTAATTGGGTTTGATTTGTAGTGAGGGGATGCGATGACTTTTTAAAATTTTTTGAATGCTGTGTGTGTGTGTATGTATGTATGTGTGTGTGTATGTATGTATGCATGCATGCATGCATGTATGTATGTATGTATACAGTTTTAGAGATGGTTTTGGCCAAGCCCTAGATTCCATACTGCAGGGGTCAATTTCAAGTAGACACCTAAGGACTTCTTTTCCTCAGATACTGAGTTTATGCTTTCTCGGGGGCCTCTCTGCTTCTCATTCCCCGGGTTAAAGAAACCTGTTGGTACTACCTTCTAACTTCATTAGGCTTGTCTTACTCGCATCCTTGCTGAGAAAGCCAAAAGCCAAGTCCCGCTATTGTGTATTGGGTTCCTAGTTCTGTTTGCCTCTGTAACTGAAGCCGTCCTCCCTATCCCCCCAGCCCTCACCCCAATCCCAGAGAAAAACCTAACCCCAATCTCTCCTGGGGTGTTTGGTTGAAACAGACTTGTATGAAATGCAGTCAAAATCGGATTGCCTACGCTGTGTTATTCACTTCTGTCATGTTTAAGGTGCAGGCATGCTGATGTTTTGGAACCTGAAGGAATCTGTGGTTGATCACCCTCCTCTTACCCTTTTCAGGATTAGAGAAGATGGCTGATGGGTGGGGGATTTCTGAGGGTGGCAGTTAGTCCTGGCTTGTTGTAGCCGGTTGGGGCTTGCATACTGGGGACAGGGACTTTGCAAAAGTGACGCCCTGCTATTGTTGCCTTTCTACCGCATCAAATTGAATAGTGGAAGGAGGGACTTGCACTTGCCTGTGATAGCTTCGATAAAATATCCCTCATTAATGCCACTTTATATTTACAGTGTGTCACTGGAGACGCACAAGGCTTCATTTAGTGACTTGTGTGACGAGACAAGCTTGCATTATTTGCCTGGGACATTTTGGAGGAACAAGAGACCCATTGAGCAATCTTTTGAAATGAACAAATACGAAAAAGGGGGGAATAAAAGAGCAGGCAGTTCTCTGGAACAAAGAGCTTTATTCATATGGATGTTGTACATGCTTTATCCAGTTTTCCCCAGTGGCTCTCCTGGTGAAGGGGAGTGGGGCAGGGAAGATGACAGGCAGGGCACCCTGGCTTCCTCTCTTACTTCCTGACTTTCCATTCTTACCAGGGTTGGTCCCTTACTCACTGCCTTTCTCTCCACCCCCTTCAGAACCCCAGAACATAGCATGCTCTCAGGTTTCAAAGGAGATTTTGAATTTTGTTTCATTGTTGGCTCTCATCGGAAGACACTGCTAGGTAGCTACCTGTTGAGACTGATCCACATCGGACAATCGGACAATGCACGGGGTGAAGGGAAAGAGATGTCACTTTTCTATGACATGTGTCAAGACAGTGAATGTCAGAATGGTAGGTAAGACGTCTTATAATTATCGTGTTAGCCTCACTCTGCTTTTTTTTTTTTTTTTTAAGGTTGTTGCTAAGATGAAAAGCATGGTTTTTAAAAGTTATTATTAATGGTGCTCTTGGCTTTTATTTTTAAACTTTATCCCATGCCTAGTACATTTCAGCGTCAGACATAAGAGATTAAAAAAAAAATCTTCAGCCTCTATTGTTCCCCTTTAAAATTGATAGTGCTACTATGAAAATCAGTGCTATGAGACTCATTCTTATTGGACTTGTTTATGTGACATCTTAAAGCTAATTGGTCACATAGAATTGTACTTCATTTTTAAATTGTGTGTGTGTGTGTGTGTGTGTGTGTGTGTGTACACTTGCGCCTGTGCGTGGTTATCAAAAGGGCTATTTTTATGTAAGGGTATTTCTTATAAGGGGCCAAACTAATTGATACTGTGGTTTGGATGGAAATTGGCCACATAGGAAGAAAATTTAAAGGAAAGAAAGCCAAAGGATTAAAATACTGTGTATCTTTCTTTGGAAGAATGCTACTGACCATTATGCTGGGCATTTTTAACAGAAAATCCAGTGCAGAAAGGAGAGATCACACAGCGACATCTGTTGCAGAACTGAAAATTTGCTGCTTCGAGATGGAAGCAATTAGCCCCGTGTAAGCACCTAATAGTATCAGAGTGTATGTGTTGACACACATGAACATGTGCAGATTTACGTCTGCATACACAATATACACAAGTTCACATACTCAGATTAAAGCACTAGACAATTTTACACCAGAGCACTGGCTGACATGCTTTCAAAAATATTAGAGATTCTCATGAATATAGAACTTTTGAAAAGGAAAGCTCATCGACACCGTTTTAGGAAGTTGTGTTGTTTTCAGGTGAGGATGCTGAAGCCCAGCTGAACTGAGGCTGAGTTAGCTGTAGACCTTGGATGGGGACAGGTCCCTTGATGTCCAGCCAGCAGATCTTCTGTTCTTCCTCCTGGCGGGGATGCCCAGTCAGAGATATAGATCATGGGTGGATACCACCTTGCCTAAGATTACTTTGTATTCGGAAGGCAGTGGGATTAATTGTTCGCTCTAGGTAATAAAGCCATGGATCAGAAGCAGTGACCTCTGGGAAGAGAGGACAAGCTCTTGGTGCCTTTGCCTTTGGTGTTGACAAGTGATTCTGTAACCTCTGGACTTTATTTGGCAGCCACTGCGCAGATGTCGTCCAAAGTGCCTTCATATGGGAGACTGCTGGGCTGTGTTGTTGTAAGAACTCACATAGGCGGAAGCTAGGCTTCAGGAAGCTCATA